GTACATTAAATTTGAATACAAAAAAAGTTTCGCCAAACCTACAAGAACAGTTTATTGGCTATTTTGAGTAATATTGTTTTGTCATAATTTTACTAAGAAGAAAATTCTATGAAATTTAACTCTACATATAACAGCTCATTGTAGTTGTTAAAACTGTTGATTCAAATCATACTTAAATGTAAAGGTGAATTCTTTTTTTATCTTTTTTTTGAGATTTTTGTCTATATCGGACATAAAGGTGAATTCACTCGAGTATTTTCTCAACCATTTCTATGCAATTTACAAAGACCGTCCGCTTCGTAAAAGTGTGTAGAAGAGTTCGTTGTTCTCTTACCAGCAATATTCTAGTGTATACTGATCTTAAGACTTATAAGATAATCCGGTTAACTTCAGAACGTAAAATATGAAGCACGTTGCTAAAAATAGACAGCCTCCAGACGATAGTTACTCATATTGATTAAAAACAAGCAGCTCCATAAACATAACGTGACACCGTTATTACTACGAGTCTGGCTTTTAGATAATCTACTTTTATGTATATCAAAGTCTGACTTGACCTGGATCAGTTGTTCCCAAACTCTTTTACGTGACACTGATCGAAGGAAAAAATGTATCTTTGAATCTTATCTAATACATTTTATAAAAAAAATCACTGATTTTTTAGTAAAAAAAATGGAAGTTATTTTTAAATACTTAAAATAAAATTAATCCCCTCCTTGAAATTGTAAATTAAACTTTCTCGAACGATCCTTTTCGTATACATTCTGTTGAGAACCAGTGGTATTTGTTATCAGTGCTAACTGCAGATAACTTCCCGTATATACGTGGCAGCCACGGTCATCGGTCACCCGCGACCAGCAGCTGATAAAGGCGTCCTCATTGTCTCCCGCCCACGCGTCTGTCGTAAGCCACACCATTCATGTGTTGCTCAAAACTATACCAAATGGTTGTCGGATAGCCTAAACATAGCTATTTATAATGTTCTATATTTTAGTATCTTGTTCTCATTGATGACTTGTTGACATCATAATCTCGTGTTAATATTACGGTTATGGAGGTGTGTCATATTTAGTGAATATGGGGGAAAATCGTATGTTACTATTTGTTGTTGCTGTGTGAAGTCATCAGTTAATGGAATTAAAACAACTTTTCTTTGTTTTATCAAGAAAAAAAAGGTTCTTTGGATAGTTGATGTCCCCAAATTTAATATACTCCAACATAATAAATTACCTTTACCATTTAATTCTGTTAATTCACTGTAACAATGTGATATATTCTATTACCTAAGTAACCAACCTATTCAATGTTACATCGCTTTTCACACAGGCAGAGACAGAAATGGGTCGATATGTAAAAAAACGTGTTCTCAGAATATGAATATAACCTGACATCTTTTTGTAGACAACTGATGCTGGATGAAAAAAAAACATTTCATCTATTGTGAGTGACGTCAGTTCTGAAGTGTCGGCCGGTTCGCGTACGGCGGCCATCTTTTATTTATAGTCATACTTGATTGATTGAGCGAAACGTCTTATGAATGAATCGATTTATGGTTTCGTCGAGCGGACGCTGTTTATTTGCCCGTTTGACGTCAGGCATCTTAAACGGGAGGATTGGATAAAGTTATGCTTAACCTTGAAAAATCCTATATAGACAACAGGGTCTGTTACCACCGACAATGTATCCACGCTTACAATGTTTGATGCAAAATAGATGACAACTTAAATGTTGTCTAGTAAGATGCCGGTTTATACTTTTTAAGCATTCATTGAATCTTCCAGGTGTTGTTATGATGTGCGGTGAATTCAAAACTTAACTTTTATGTAGAACTAGAAATCTTACTAATATTATAAATGCGAATGTTTAGATGGATGGATGTTTTAATGTATCTCTAGAACGGCTAAACAGATCGCGATGACATTTGTTATACATATAGAAGATACTCTGGAAGAACACACAAGCTATGTTTTTTTGATTCTGCGCAGACGATGAAGGAGTCGCAAGCGACAGCTAGTAGAATATAAACTAAGCAATATGCGTCAAATCTTCATCGTCGCCATATCTAGTTACACGTTGCGATAAAGAAATAAGTGCCAGATGACTTGATCCCCGCGAATGAAGCTGCAGACATCTGCTACAAACATTATGCCTTCACATCGCTTAGAGCCGCTTTGTAAGTACCAAAACCACGCTGTAGAAACAATTTAATGTTTTATAAATTATAATAAGTATACTATAATTTTATGTCATTTCTATAAATGTATTAGTCTTTTTATCCTACACTATTTATCCAGTTTAAACTTAAATTGAGCCAAAAAAATACACCATTTGGCGCTTTGGCCGCACTCAGAGTCATGAAGGCTTAGTTTTTTTTATTGAATAAGCTAGTGCTTGACCACTATCCCACCTGATGCTAAGTCATGATGTGGTCGAAAGATGGTGTGTATAGCCTTTAATGTAAAAATCTACACTTATGGAATTCTTTTACTGATTCTTAAACGACACTCAAAGAGACAACTATTTTCAAAATTTAATTGTTTAATTCGGCCGTTGTTACGATAGTCTGAAATGCTATCACTGTGCCGTTTGAAAACGCCGCTTCCTGCAAGTTACGTTATCAAAGCTTGACAGCTGACCAGCATCGCACGTCTCATAATTATCTGTCTATACAGTGTTGCCACTAATGATAATGCAACCAGTATATTGGCAAACAGAAGATTCGATATTATGTGTAGGCCCAATTTTCACCACTATAAATGGTTACATAATGTCTTATAAATCACATGTTTTTTTAAATTTTCATTTATAACCTTCGAATTTATGCCAGGATTCTCAAGTATAGAAGAAATACTATCCCGCGAAATCGATATTAAAATTACAAGTCTCCTATTATTTTTTCTGTCATAAAAGTTTAAAATTGAACCGTTTCCTACAACTTTTATATATAGCCCGACGAAGTTATGTAAATAAACTAACTCCAAACACAAAGTAACAAATGTCAATGTCAAAAAAGTGTCACAAAATCCTTCCAAGTTCTGGAGCTGTGTAGTCAATGACTATGTAAGTTTTTTCTGACTAACCGCGATAGTCTCCTTTCGTAAAAGCTTCGCTTATCAAATTATAAGTTCATATTCATTATAACCGTGTTACTTATATTTAAATATGTGTTTCTGAATTAATACATTGATTGTTACTGTGTATTGATTTCAAACTCTTTATATGTTTGTAAGTGTGATATTATTTATAGTTTGTTTTTTTTTCTCTCTAGTACATTATTTACACGAATGTTGTGTTTGCCTGTAATTGAATTATGTTTTAGCTTACTCTTTATCATGTAACTTATGTACTAAGTAAAATTGTAGGTAATATATTTTGTTGGCATTTCCAAATAAATAAATAAAATAAAACATATAACATACATCGTTGTTAATATATGCTAACCCCATCCGACGTTACGAGTGTTGCCATCTGGTGCGTGTTCCAATTTATACACCATCCGACATTCTCTTGCTGCGACACGCCACGCTACTCTAAAATAACATGTGTACCGCCACACATATGTACATGTTAGTGTTTTGTTGTCTACTAACAAAGCATTATGTAGACTATTTACCGTGGGCTTCTGAGACTAAAATCTTCGATTAAAACATACTGTTATCTCTTTTTCGTCAAAGATAATGACAGGGATGACGATATGTTTAATACAGAAATGGTCTTAGAAACCCAAGGTTGATATAGTTGTTAGATTTTAAAGCTATAAGTTTTTTATTACCTATGCATTTTATCATTAGTTGCAGATACTCATCCCAGTATAAGAGAAGCACACTACAGATTTTCAGCTTTAACTGAACATTCCAATACTTAATTTTAACTTTACAATTCAACTGGTAGTTAAAATGTTGTCTACACATGCACAATTTTCATTGAACAGTTCGAGTATTTAGTTAAAACTGAAAGTCTGTTGCAAGCTTTTGGTGTAATGTTTAATGTGTCGAATGAATAAACGATATGAAGCTTATTTTACAATATTGACGTCTTAAATTTTATTTTTTGTCTCCTTTCTAATAATAAATAATTTATCTTCTGTAAAAGAAAATGTTTATGATTTATATTATCTGATTTTAAAATGCACGGCGGGTGAGTGCGTCCGTCGCGAAGGAAGCAGGAAATGTACGGGAGGCGCGCATCCCGGACGCGGCGGGAGGAAGTGAGGCGATTCACCGCTTCCTCCCGCTACACCCCCACACCTCGCGTCCTTCCCCGTACTATTTATACCCGGCCCGCCCGCGGGAACCTCGGTCACTGTCGTCCAGAGCGACCCGACTAGACTAACATCAACCTATTCTACTCGTTCCAAGGCGCGGAGATGATAATAAAATACTAGACAAGATGAACCCTTTATTAATGTATGGAGTCAACATTTTGAAAATTTAGAAATGAAAATAAATTCAGTTTTTTTCGCTTAGTGTTTTTCAATAACTAACTATATGTATAGCAAAATCTGTCACGTGGTGTGGTCACACACGCGGTTAGCTCTGCTATTGCTAAGCCATTAATACACAAGAATTTGAATATTCAACGTAACAAATTAAAAATTCATATGAACATTTTATAACCTACTAGAATCCATAACAGGTTTTACATTTGTAATCATACCTAGCCGTTACGTAAACACTAAATAAAATAAGACGTTAAAAAATCAAAGGTCAACTTAATAAGAAGATTGCGGAGACGATTGTGTTATCGCCGCCTCGTCATCCGACACGCTGTGGCGCGCCAGCCGGCGCTTGGCTCGCCTCTCAGTACCAACTACCAACAGCTCGGCTATGGACACCGCCTGCGCCGCGCGGCTTCACATATACCGCACGTCCTGCCTCACATCCGGAGTGCGCCGGACGCGGCCGACGTGCGCACGCTTTCCTCTGACAAGGGTGGGGAGGTGATGCAGAAAAAACAAACAAGATGTAGTAAACATTCGTATTTATAATATAATGTCGTTTTATTTACAAATAAATACAAATTCAGTTAATAAATAAATGGTAAATTATCTACATCTTAATAAGTATGTTTTATATCTCATCTCTTAATCATCTCCGGATTCGCACTGAATCCAAAATACTAATGTTAGCGTTATATGACACGTTTCGGTCTCAAGAAAATTTGAGACTCGCGGCGTTCGGCGTTGGGCGTTCGGCGTTTGGCGACACGTTCACGTACATTCACACTATACGGCTATATTTACAGGCAGACGATCACTCGGGCGCGGGGCGCGTTCTGGCCCTCGGCCCTCCGCACTGGGCGCACGGCACACGGCACACTCACTTCGCTTCTCGTCCTCCCGCGCGCTCCGGCCCGCGCGCCAATAAATATTTGTACAGCGCGTGCGCGGCGGCGGCCCGGAGGGCGCGGGCGTGCGCGACTAGATAATACTGGAGGGCGGATGCGCGTGCGAGCGCGGCGCGGGACAGCGGCAGCCGGCGCGGGATATGCGCGCGTACGCCGCTGCGCCCGCCGCCGCACACGCGCGCAACGGCCAGTACAGGCACAGGCACGGGAGCGGCAGCGCCAGCGCGCCCACGCACCACAGCCGCGGCCCGCAAGCGCACGGCTCGCGCGCCTCCTCCTCGCCGCCGCCGCAGTGGTACAGCAGCGCCTTCACGCAGCACATGCACGACGCGTAGTCGACGCACGCCTCCGCGCTGCATAGGCACGAGCCGCACAGCCAGCGCGAGGGGAGCGGCCGCGGCCGCGCGCACTGCTCGCAGCGGCACCGCCCGCACTCCTCGCACACGATTGACTGCTCGGCGGGCGCGCGCCGCTTGTCCGCGCCCGGCTGGCTCGTCACCGGCTTGAGGGGGCGCGAGGCTGCGTGCGGGCCCGCGTGCGTCGAGCTGTGCACCGCCGGCGGCGAGCGGCGCGGCGCCTCCACGTACGCGTTGCGTTCGCGCTCCGCCTCGGGTCGCGGCCGCAGTAGGGAGACGTGGGGCCGCGCGCCCCCGCCGGCCCCGGCGGACGCGGCCCCCGCGCGGTGTACGCGCGCCGCCGGCTTGGGCGGCCGGGGCGGCGCCGCCGGCCCGCCATACTCGTCCATCGAGTCCGGCTAACGGCTCTCCGGGCCGTCGCCTTCCTGTTCCCTCATCGTCCCCACCTGCAGACAAACAAATACATTACATTGTAGCTTTATTTACTCGCATTCACCGAAATACATGATTACAACTAATATAATAATCATATGCTGATGAATATTATCGATACGCAAAATGTTAACAAAGCTCGGGCAAAGATAACTAAAAATACGAAATGCGGTTTATTTCCGAAGACACGATCAAATAACAAGACCACGATGTGCACTAGAACTACGCGGTTTTTCTACAACATTCACGTGAGGATTTCGATGGAAAATAGTTCGACCATTCGTCTCATACAGTATTATTCATTCATACGTCTCTAGCAGTAGCTAGACTAGATACACGAAATTGAACAAACAGTTCATGACGCAGGCTGGATGAGTTTTTTTTTATCTTAGAAGTAACAAGTAGCGTATTATTATTTAATGATCAAATGATTATACAATTTTCAAGAGGGATTATGATACTTAATACTTGTATTATTTCGCGGCACTGTATTAGTAGATTGTGGTACAAACAATTAAAACGATCAATTTTAATTATTTATCACATTCATTCCAAATCTAAAATTTATAAACATACGAACGTCACTATAACGTATCCTTTATTTAAAGTTTCATCGGATTAGTTCACTATTTAAAGCATTACACTACTATTAACATTACACTATATAAAGCATTTTATATAAAAAAAAATACTATGTAAAAATAGTACACAACCAGCTGCGGTATCATTTGTCATCGGGACTTCCACACAATGCGCGCGGTTTTTAAAATAACTGCCTTTTGTATCTGGCCCTTAATCGAACTAATTATCGAGTATTAGGTGTTGAAGAAAACTCTTCGATATTCCCATTTATCGATTAATAATAGTAGAGAGTACTTCATAATATGACTACTATGGTTGTCGCCCGCGACTAAATCCGCCCGGAACTAAAAGAAATAAACTAGTAGCTTATTTGTTTTCAGATTTTGATCTAAATCTATACCAAATTTACGCGAGATCCATGTAGTCGTTCTGGAGATAACTTCTAACATACATCCAAACATTCGCATTTATAATATTAGTATCAAGAAAGAATTTAATTATTACAATTGATAACGCCATCTATCGATTCTATAAAAAAGCTTATTTTTACTAAAATTTAATTCCATCCTATTACAATTGTAATAGCAACTTTAGTTAAAATCAAGCCCACATGATTTATGAGTCTAGAATTATCTAAAGTACGCAAAAACTTGTGACTGGACGTATTATGCACCGTTTTTATCAAGTTACGTAGAGTTGTGTATTCATTAAAACAATAGTTATCAACAATTTTATTTATATTATGATTATTTATAGATGTTACTAAATAAATAATAAACATAATGAAAATAACGCGCCTTGTAATCTTTATATTAAAAATGTTCATTGCGTTATTTAAATTAAATCCCAAATTAAAAAAAATATATATTACCCTGTCAAACTTTTGGATCGTATTAAGTTTACTACGAGCTATTACTACTGTAAAACATTAAATATATTTAAGGTTGAGATTTAAATATTGAATACTATGAAAACCTCTCCTGACCAACTGGGTTGCTTAGAAGAGATCGTAATTAGCGATAAGATCACCCTAGAGCCATAGTTAAGCATACCTAGTCTAAACTAATTTTAGCCATTTTTTTTAACTTTTTATTTAGCAGTAGAATTAACAAATAAATAAATATATAAATTTATAATTAAAAAAAATGAAATTTAATATATCTGTTTGTAATCAGTACTTTAGTTTAAAGCTAAAACAACTAACATTTTATAATAGAATATTTTGTAACTCTGCCTACTCATCTGGTTTACGGGTGTGAGTGTTACGTATCTATTAATCTCTTCTTGGTTTATTATAATCATCATTAGGAATGCTAACATTGGTTAGGTAAAGGACCAAAAACATCGGTCATTGGCCGACACAATCTTGCTGATAGTAATGATTGTATAGATAGTCCACTTGCCTTCTAAAGGTCATTAACCATATAGTGAAAGTATGCACGTTTGTTTGTATTGAACTATACTTAAAATTGTAGTTCAAACATTATGTAAAATATGTATAATATATTTTTTAATAATAATTTAATTTATTAGATATTGGAACACAGAACGTTTCTCTTAAAGGCAATTTCCTTTCTTTAATATCTAACTGGCTGTGGCCCGCGACTCCGTCTGCGCGGAATTAAAAACAAACTTAATATGTATCCTATGTATCCAGACTATGTTCTACAACTATGTCAAATTTCAGCAAGATCTATGCAACCGTTCCGTTGATACCTTCAAGCAAACATACATCCATTCATCTCATCCATCTAAACAATCGCATTTATAATATTAGTAAGAAGTAAGATTAAATTAATATGATAGATAATAGTTTTTTTCTGGATAATCCACATATTACTCAATTATAAATATTTTTAAAGGTTTATTCGATTTTAATCTTTGTTACGTTATAAAAGTATGGATCAGAAGCAGTTTAATATGGCTTTTCTTTTAATAATATTATTATGGTAGAGTCAAGCAGCCACAGAAGCACGAAGAATTAAAGATATTCAGCTTTTTAACTGTATTGAATGAAAGTAGAATGATATTTAACGCATGAATTATTCTACAATTATTAAAAGGAAAAAAAATGGTTACCTAGTATTCAACCAGAAACAATAACAACGTATATAAGGTTATTTTTGCGAAAAACAGGTTTCAATCATATGTGGATTAATTTATCATTATTATATACTCAGTCTACTACGAAACTATAGTAAATATTCGATTTTTTTTTATCCATTCATCTTTTTAAATTTTTTCGTATATGTATGATATAATGAGCGTACGTAATAAATATTTTACTTAAGGAGGAATATCAAGATTTTAGGAAATCATTGCATCAACCTTTTAACAATATTTAGAGCTTGATATGGGATAGCATATTTTATTTAGTTTATTTTGGTTTTGATTATAGTCCACCAAATAATTTATGTGTATTATGGTAAAATAATATAATATAAACTACAAATATATTAGTATTAGAGCGTCGGTGGCTTAGGGGTTAAGCACTTGACTTGGAATCGGCAGGACCTGGGTTCGAATCCCACCATGTGTTTTTTCGATTTCCGATTTACATATGTACTTATCCGAAGTTCTTACGATGAAGGAAAACATCGTGATGCAACCTGCGCATATCTGAGAAGATTTTATCGATACATATGTGTGAAGTCAACCAACCCGCACTTGGACAGCGTGATTGACTATGGCCTTATCAACCCTAACTTAGGGTAGGCTCCGAGCTTCTCAGTGGGGACGTATAGTGAGCTGATGACGTTACGATATGTCATTATCACATAGCGTTGTGAGTATACATATAGATTTGTACATAAGAATTTTCGTTATATATAATCATACCTTTCACTATTTCTATTGTATTTAATGTAAATACATATAAATAAAATAAGAGTGTATGTAATATCGAGAATATATATTTCGTACTTGTGATGTGTGCGTTGCTGATATGGAAAAATACATTTTCAAATATTTTGTCAGTCTATATGTCTGTTCTTTTTTTGTGACTGGGCGGTCACTGTTTGCCTTGTAGAGGCATTTACAGCTTCACAGAGCTTGAGGTGGCCGGGCGCTGATGGCGCTTAGCCTGAACCTCATTTAAGAGTAACAAGACTTGAGGGCTCCGTCAGGAGCCTCAGCTCGGGCTGTTACTTCGTTATTGTTAGCGGATTGGTTGTTTGTTCCGGGTAATCTCCGACACGAGTAGACCGATTTTGACGGGAAGGTGCACGCGGGCATTTCATGGGTTACTTTTAAAATTCAGCATAGACAAAGTCGCAGGCAACCGCTAGTACTATTATATTATATACCTAGATAATTAATTAGGAACAAAAATTACAATACAATCTGCAGTTAAATTTTTCTAATAAATATAATTTAGGATATATTGATTTTAATAATTAAAACGTTACGATATTAACAACGCCTAAAGTCTTAACTTTAAGTTATTTGAAAGGATTTCAGTTGGATTCCTATATGTTTAAATTGTACCACATAGATTATTAGGTTGGTAATTAATAGATATGAAATAACAAATCTTAATCTTTATTACAAACTTAGACCCAAAATCATCATCAGCTCACTATACGTCCCTATGCTCACCAAGGGGCTCGGAACTTACCTTAAGTTTAGAGTAATTAGGCAATAGTCAAAATGACACAAAATAGTACATTTTAAACTATTATACTAATGTAGTATTAAACCAAAAGAATACCAAAAAAGCATTTTTAGTCAATTACAAATAATAATAAATACATATTGTCTATGTATAGCCTATGTTTTATTGACAAGGAATGTCCAAGAATTACTAAAACATAGGTACTGTGTACTGTGTGTAGGAATACTTTGTGTGGTAAATAATATTAATAGTTTACGTAATCAGTTTAGGACACGATCTGTAAGTGGTTAGTTCGTATATATTGATTTGTTTTTCAACTGTCCTAAATAGCGTATATAATAAAAAATAATTGCTTTGAATGTCTTATTCGATTATGTTAAACATATATTTTAAACTGTTCAGATAAATTAAGTAGTATATATTTAAAAATAACATATCGAAATTATAAAATTGTATGAATAAAAATGCGTCTAACGTATTTTGTGCATGCATATAATTGGCACACATATGTATAATGTTTGTGTGCATTTTATTATACTGCTATTTTATATGTATGCTGTTGGCTTGTCTTAATAAATAATAAAAATATTACCAGATTTTTCCTAAATATACTAATATTTCTTGTGCCATTCCAACTAAGCTCTAGGGAATCCGCACCTATAACCATGAGGATATTGGTGCTTAACCAATAGTTTTTTATGTTATTTCATATTAGTATTTCTGTTCAAGTGTAACATGTAAATTTTTCATAATAATAGTTTTGCTATAAATCGTCAGTAAATTGTAAACTACGCCATTTTAAATAATTAGTCCGATTGG